ACTCTGTGTTGAAGCTTCGTATTAAAGAATGTGTTGCTGACAAAAGACCATAATAAAAGCAAAACTCCAGCAAGCGTTGGCCATTTTCTTTCATCTTTCCAATGCCAAAATGGCCTAGATAAGTGGGCCAAGAATTGTGATCAGCACCAACTCTAGCGTTAAATCTCCAAGAATGAACAGTGGCTCTCCTTCAGGGACTCTTTTGATAGTAGCTGCCAGACTGTCGTAGAATTTCTCTTTCACTTCTGTAGTGGATGACAGTGTTGGTGCATATGCACTAATGAGAGTGAATGGTCCCACTGATGAGTGGAACTGCAGAGACAGGATTCCTTCACTCCCCACAGTAGGTGGAACAATGAATCTCAGAAGTATTTCTGACTGCAAACACCATATTTCCTGGTCTCATCAATGATTTTCCCTGCCAGAAGAATGAAAGTTGTTTTCTTTGACAGATCCCGAGTCTGGCAATCTCGTCTCTTGCAGGGCAACAATGTCCATCTGCAGTCTACTCAGTTCCATGTTGATAACAGCTGTTTTGCACACATCGTCTATTTCCTGCAGGTCGTCAGAAAAGCCGCAGTCAGAAAAGCCAGAAGTCATTGTCCGTACATACCAGGTGCCCAGCTTTAGGGCAGAAGTTTTCTTACGATTGTTGCATGGTGCAGGGTTATCGATCTGCTTGTCGGGTTTCACCCTAAACTCCACGCACCCTGTGAGGTTAACAGATCGTGGCGAGCAGTTCCATAATTCTCAGGTTTACAGAAACCATAGCTGAAGCTTTGCCCACTGCACTAGCACTTGATGGGTGCTGCGTCACTTAACAATGACTTAACAATTTTGAGTATTTTCATAGATAATCAAACTATTTACAAGTGAAAATTAATCGGTATTAATGACACATGCCTCCAAATAACATTTCACATACTTGCTACTAGAATGAGAGAGAACATGTTAATTACACAAGGACCAAATAGGAAATAAAAATTAGGCTGGAAATAAGATATCAGAAACATATATATCTCAATAACTTACCCTGCTATTTGCTGATTCATACATATCTCCTTCTACTTTCCGAGCATAGGAGACAAGATTTGCCATGCGCCTATCTTTTAGTGCAGCAGGGTCAGGAGTTGGAAATATGGCTTGTACCCTAAATGAATATGGTGAGAATGCTATATATTATTTGCCTCTGAACATCTGTATCCTCAGATCACATTATCACTATTCCAAACACAAAATAAGTAGAATAAAACATCCCCATACATAAGTGTTTAAATAGATATATAATAAAGAAACACAGCATTTCCCATGTTGTTTGCTTAAACAACTCATTTCAGGAAAGCAGATGAGTTTAATGATTCTATTTACATCAGTTCCTTCAAGCTTAAATGTCTAAAAGGGATAACTACCAGAAGCTAAAAGAAAAACCCACAAAAATAGAAGAGAACAAGAAAAGGAGAACATTTCCTACTACAAATTGACCCAGTAGTCAAATCAAACAGGATGTTTTAATTAAATCAAATCAAACCAAAATGCACACTCAATGAGGTGAACTGTCCAGTTAACAGGAATATTTTCTTACAGATATATTTCTCAGGAGCTAAAGGCTAAAATACATTACAGGAAAGAATCTGACAACTGTACTGACCTAAAAGATGTAAAATCATTTTACTGAAAGCTGGCAAGAGCTGGATCTCAAAAGGAGTTTTATTTAGGTACAGGTGTCCCAGGTAGCACAGTGAAGCCAATACTGGATAGACTGGTACAGTGGCCAGACACTGAGGCCATGTTGACTGTTAACACAGGCGAAGCAGAAGCTTTGCCAAAAGCTACTGTACTGTCCAAATTTATGGAATCTCTCTGCAGCCTTGGAGAAATGATAGCTTTCTAGCCTTTTCATATATTACCACAAGGGGCAGCAGATCACAGATTCAGGCATTCTCAATTCCAGGTCCAGTGGAAACTAACAATAGGTTGTTTTTCATTTAGATGTGCTTTAAACACTATGTCTAGACCAGAACAATAAGAAATAGTTTGCCATTTGAAATAATTTTTGTTTGAGTAAAATTTGCCTTAACTGTGCCAGAACACAGCCAACTGAGATAAAGGGTCAGAATCAATATATTTATTTTGAACTCTGTAGGTAAAGAGGCATGCATATTAAAATTTTAAGAATCCAAAGAAGTCTGTCACTATAGAACAGTATGTATCACAGTATATTTGATCTTTACGGTAGCGTAATAATCTCTTCCTTAATATTTTCTCTAGTGATTTAACATGGCTATGGTTGTATCCTATGCCCTATCTGTGTGAAGGAAGGCTAGTTAAGGAAGATCCATGACAGCTCCACTTCTGTTATTCTATGTACTACAATGTGTCTAGTAACACAGGAAATACCATCTTTCCTTGAAAATAAGACAGGATCTTATATTAATTTTTGCTCCAAAATACCCATTAGGGCTTATTTTCAGGGAATGTTTTATTCTTTACAATAACCTACATTTCTTCAACTACAGTCATGTCATCTTCTTCTGGTTACTGCACAATGATGGAGGGCGGGGTTTCACTTAACTGGACTTATTTTGGGGGTAGGGATTATATTATGAGCATCCCGAAAATCATACTAGAGCTTACTTTCAGGTTAGGTCTTATTTTCAGGGAAACAGGGTAGTATCTGAGCAAGGCTACAATGGATACAGAATGTATTAATATCGCATAGTGTACCAGGCTTCCTTACAGGCTTGGAAATGATGCATTAGTGTCTTGTTGCAAACCTATGTGAAGGAATAAAAGCCATGAAATTCATCTCTAGGATCCAAAGAAAATCGTAGCCCAAGGCAGCCCAGTCTGCATGTCTCAACAAGACAAGAGAACCCTTTCTTATTAAGTATTATCAGCTATGGATGCAGAGCACTAAGCATTCCTTCTTGCGGCATTTGTAGCTAAAACCCTGGAGGTTTGTTTTGCCCCCTGCCAGACGGTAAAGAAAGAATCTAGTTTGTCATGCAGTTTCTTCCTCTGAGTTATGGGAAGGAAGAAAAAGTCAGAACGGAAACTGTTATCAAACAACATGATAAACCTAAGATCAAAGCTCTGTGGTGTTTGGCACTAATCAGGCAGCTTAAACCAAAATGCTCCTGGTACTTGATATGCCAGGTTTCTCATGGTTCCCTAATTAGTTATGATAACCCAGATATATGTCAACTACGCTATTTGGCCCTCCTACTATACTCTTCTTAATGCTAAGAACAGCAAGCACCTCTTATAACCTGGTTTGCCCAAACTGGATAAGGTCTAATTATTACACTGAAAACTCGAAGCATTTCATACAGTCTTCAAGCACAGGGTCTTTTCAGCTTAGCAATTTAGGAATAGTGCCCCTATACGTAATACTATCAACAGTACATTTACCCAGGTTTAAAAAAACATACATACAATAGATGCCCATCACAAATGGCAGGAATATATAATACACATTTTTCTTGAGAAACCTGTGTGTATAGCCTTTCCCCATTTCTGTTATTAATCCAGAAATCTGAACAACAGATTTTGGAATTTGGGAATCAATACTTACAGTTTATGAACAAGATGATTTCGGAGGTCCTGAGTAATATCTTCATGCCATGGTTTTCGAATTCCCATGCCAGATGGATGTGCTGCTGTTGGCATAGCCCCAAGACTGGCAACATTGGCAGTTTCATTCATCATGGGGCTGAAAGTAAAATGGGATTTTATCAAAAATACCTAGGCTCAGTGATATACTTTGACTATACAGGCAGCACAGGGTATTGGATACAAATATACTCTACTTGTGCAGAAAAAAATATTATTTTAATCATTCTAAAGACACAATTTTAATATTTTGCTTTTAGTAATTTCATCTATATATAACATTCTCTTGTAAAAAATAATTGGATTCAAGATGAAATGGGAACTTGTCCTAAAGTTGCATTCATGACTCTCTTGCCAGCCTCTGAACACTGTTTTATTTGGAAGGAAACAACTGTGACTAGCCTCTGTTATGGATAAAGTCAAGGATTAACAAATCATCACAGTCATTGGAATTCGGATGACAACATCCTGTATGTCACCAAAATTACCCTCTGAACATGCATAGATGCCTTCACATTTGTATTGTATAGCCAACTGTATCAGCCCTGCAGTGTTCAGTTCTAAAATAGTTATTTGTGTTGGCATGGACACTTTCTACTGAGAAACACTACTCCTCCCCATTCACCACCACCTCATGCTCCAAATACATGCATTTTATTTGGAAATACTTTACTTTTTTCCAAATAAAAATGAAACTTCAGCTGTCAAATCAGTGACTTTACTTAGTAATTGTGTATGCCTGTATGTTCTCTGTGAGCATATGTATAACAGAAAATGCATTTGTGCTGAAATGTCCAAGCCAGGCTTTTAATTATAGTACGAGGGGGTGCTGATATGTATTGAGCCTTTCCCAGAAAAAACTGAGCTAGGAAGCTATAAATTGCAGGGTGTATTGGCCAATTTGTATTCAATGATGCAAAAAATCAACTACCTATGTTCAGGTCCAAAGTGAACATGGCAGAAGCTCCAGAAAAGTTCAATGTGGAAGAGCATAGGGCCATAATCAAGTTCCTGTTTCTCCAAGGGAAAGGTGAAAAACAGATCCATGATGAAATGTCACAAACTATGGGTGACAATGGCCCTTCATATGCAACAGTTAAACATTGGGGTGTCAATTTTTGAACTGGCCATTTCGGTGTTGAAAGTGAGAACCCCAGTGGAAGGCCTGTTTCTGTATATGTGCCTGCAAATGTGAAAGCCATCCATGACATGCTCATGGAAGACAGCCAAATATCAGCCCAAAGTATATCTGTGAACATCACATGAGAGAGTTGGTGCCATTATCCATAATGACTTGGAAATGAGAAAGCTGGCAGCAAAGTGGATCCCCAAACTTTTGACAACCAAACAAAAGAGGAAACGTGTGGCTGTTTTGGGACATTTTGCAAGAAATGAGTCAGATTTCCTGGGCAAACTGGTAACTGGTGATGAGACATGGATCTACTGTTATGATCCTGAGACAAATGAACAGTCTAAGGAATGGAGGCACAGTGGTTCCCCCAGGCCAAAGAAGTTCCAAGTGCAAAGGTCAGTGCAGAAGCAAATGGCAACAGTTTTTTTGGGGGGGATAAGAAGGGAGTTCTGTTGGTGGACTACCTCCAACAGGATTCAACCATCAATGCAAAATATTACTGTGCTTTATTGAATACGTTGAGGCAAAACATCAAGGAAAAACATTGAGGAAAGCTCTCCAAAGGTGTCATCCTGTTGCACGAGAATACTTCGTCACACACTGCAGGTGAAACAATGACAAAACTGATCTCCTTAGGCTTTCAAGTGATGCCCCATCCACCCTACTCTCTTGACCTGTCTCCTTCTGACTATTATCTGTTCCCCAAACTCAAAAAACACTTAAAGGGACGATTTGGGAGTGTTCTGGAGACAACTAATGCTGCAAATGAGTGGTTACACCAGCAGTTGGAAGAATTTTATTTTCAGGGATTTAAGAAGCTGCAGGACAGATGTCGCAAGTGCGCTGACTTCCTGGGGGAATATGTAGAATATTGTGGCAGTTACAGCTTCCTAGCTCAATTTTTTCTGGGAAAGGCTCAATATTTATCAGCACCCCCTCGTATATGTAACCGGAAAGCCAGTATGTTTTAACTGCTAGAGCAGCCAATCAGAATATAAGAATTTGAAAATGGTGCATATAATATTAACAAATGATCTCTAAATTGATCCTTCTTTGTTATGTAAGTTGCCTTGACTTACAATTCAGCCTGCTCCACAACTGCTTTGTAGCAGCTTTGGTCACTGCAACCATCTGGCCTTGTGCAGGAACACCAAGTCCTGTGTATTTAACCTTTCAGGGAAAGTACAACTCTATCTGAGATGCAATGATGTTTTCATTCAGAGTAGAGCAGACATGAATAAAGGGCTAAACATTGGTATCTGTACACCAGCTGTACTTTGTCTGGAGAGGACAGAACTTGCTTTGGTGATCCACACAGAAGTGACATCTATACACTACATTGGTTTATTGCAATATGTTCTATATCATGCTTCCCTCAGAGATAGCTTGGAAATATCCAATGCCTATACGTACCAGCTGTACTGACTGTTGCTGTGTTTCCAAAATTAATTCAAAGTCCTGGTCTCAGGACCAGAAAAATATTAAAATAAAAATAAAATAAAGTCTTGAAAAGCTACTGATGTTAAAATTTAAGTACAAAAATATTTCAGGCCCAGTTATCTAAAGGAATGCCTTAACTGGCAACTATCTCACCCACACTAACACATCATCACTATTTTATACACTTGTATTATGACTTTTTGCACTTTGTTGAATACAGCTTGGGGATTTAAAAAAAATTAAATGCTATGAAAATAAGTAAATAAATGAAAACTCTTTCCCCCCTTACTACTGTCCAGAATATTTGGATTGGCAAACACAAAACATTACTTCTTCAGTGATGCAACTCATTATGAGCTGCAGAATTTCAGGCCTTGTCTTTGCAGTTCTTGCTAAAAGCCCCATCTGTTCTCAGATACCTGCTTCTAAGGACCTTACGGAACTGCTTGACATAAGTTGTTTTAGCATGTATTTATTCTTAATGTTTGCATTTAGCTAAATTTAGTTATGTGAATTCTATTAATCATTTGATTATTAAGTGAATTTGAACTTTGTATTTTAGCAATTTTATGAGCTTTACAAGCTATTCTGAGAAGGTTATTTTGTCCTGCCAATGGGCCAAAAGCATTCTTAAATTAAAACTGAATTAGTAGTCCAATGGGAAGATTTGGAGCAACAGTGCTCTAGTTCATTTCTTACCACACCCAAAGTGCAGCATAGTCAGACCTGGCACAAGGAGCAAGTGTCCTTATATTTATGAAATACTGTATATACAGTCACAAGATTTTACCATCATGGCACAAAATTCAATTCTAGGTCAGTCACATCAGGACTGCAGTTTCAACCCTGTGTTCTACAGAATAGTGCACAACCCACGTCCCCTTTCAAATCAAACTGTACTTCCAGCAAGGAAATAGCAATTACCATGAGGACTTCTGAGTGCTGGGGGATGGAATGAAGACTTTCATCCACCCTCCACCTCCAGGAACTGAAATCTGTTCTTCCCTACCACAAGTTTGGGGTGTTGAAAGAAGGTTATCCACTTCTTTTCACTAGTGAGAAAACAGGATCACTGGTGTGTAGCTGGATGTATGTGTACATATATACTTACAATCCTCCATCCAACATCACATGCAACCAGAACTAAATGAGCAGCAACACTAGCTCTGGATACACTGCACCAATGCAGCATTATGTGGCCATGTGCCCGCACAGCTTACAGGGAATGTCGGCTACAGGTAAAGGTGATGCCTTAAGGCAGAAAACAAAGGGGCATCCTAACATAATTCACAACTCAGTTTTGTTAAATACACTGAATTCAGACTAGACAGGTGAAAATCCTTTATGAAGAATTTTTTAAAGATTGTACAGTATTCAGGGATCCAGGGATGAAGTCTTAATGGGATGTTTCCCTTCCCTTTAAAAAAAGTCTTCATATCTAAATATATCTTTTGTGAATATTGTGCTGTGCATCATTTTTGTGAATCCATTCATCACAGTGTTGTTCCAAAATACAATTAAACAAAAGTAAACTTACTTCTGAGAATTCATAGCTGAATGCAACATTGATTCAGGCAGCAGATTCTGCGCTTGAACTCCAACCCCTCCATTCACTCCCATCGGATTAGCATCTAGACAAAAAACGGGTGGAGGGTTTGTCAACAGAACATGACTTACTCAAATTTCTTTACTGTATACACTGAAGAGCTCTTATGCAGATGCAACATTCTTTCTAATTTGTTTTAGTACGTGTCTTTTAATTTCTTCTATGAAAAGTTTTTAACACATCTTTATTTTATTTAGCCTTTTACATTCTTTTTGTGTTGTATTGCTCAACTATGTGTCTACTTTATATTGCCTTGGCTGTTTTTACAGAATGGTAACATATACATGTACAGTACGTTTTTTAACACTCTAGTGAGAGCATCTTAGCAACATAAATCTACATTCCCCAGAAGACCACAGTAGCCAAAGAAGAAAATTGTGTCTGCTTTTTATTATCCCTCTGTTATTGGAGGATGGACATCATCATGTCTATTCTGATTTGGATATGGCACGTGTGAACAATGCTGTTGTGTTGCATTCAGTTTTCCAGATTCTTCAGCCAGTAAGTTATTCTCCTGCACTTTTTTCCCATTTCGCCTAGAGTGGTCTTATAGGCCAGATGGGTGAGGTATAAATCAAATAAATCAAATAAATCAAATAAATAAATAAATAAATAAATTTGTTTTGCCTTGAACAATCATCAGAAACCATCTGACACATTTCACACATGTCAGATTTCTTACCTAAAACAATCATTTGCAGCCCAATATTCTCCTATGGCTTTAAATGAATACACATTGATACTGCAACTATGTATACCAGAATTATCAAGTACTACAGAAAATGACCATCATGATGGTGGACAATGAAGAATACATGTACTTCTCCATCAGCTACTCAATGAAGTTGGAGACAAATTAAAAGAGATCTTTGTGTATGCTGCTAAATCAATACTAGAAAGGGGTATTTGTATATCCCAGCACAGGTGGTGTTAACGAGGGTCCAGCCTCATGGGGCCGGGCAGTCCATTCACTGATTGGACGCAGATGGCATGATTCTACCAATGGCTCTGCAGCATGCGATCCGCTCACCACTCTTCGATCTTTCAGTGAGGCTTGTCTTCCCACCTCCTGCCAGAAGTGGTGAGCGCATCGCGCACTGCGGAGCCATTGGTAGAATCGCACCATCCGTGTCCGCAGTGGATTGGTGAGTGAACTGCCCCACCCCATGGGGCTGGACCCATGTTAACGTCACTTGTGCAAGGATATTAGTATACAAATACCCCCATCTCTAATTAATACTCTTGAACAATGCCACATAATAAACTGGTTGAAGGCATTTTTTTTAAGCGAGTAAAGGAATGTTATTCAACATCCTCAAAATTAGCCTCTCCTTTTGAGTGGGTTCCAATGGATGCTTCCAACTTCTTTTGCCTTCTGAGCTCTGAACTAGCTATAAGGTTAGCTTGGGTTTCATTTTATGAAGAGACAGAGAAATCTTGAGACCATCCTTTCACAATGCCGAAACCTTTCTGCCTTCCCTGAAAGAATGTTTAACTTTTCAAAAGCTGTAACATTAGTAAAATATCAGAATCAATAGTTTTAAATAATATGATGAACTTACTTGTGGGGTTCATGGGCCGAAGACCCTGTGCTGGCTGTCCTTGTTGCTGGCTCTTCACTTGAGCCTGTGTTTGCGTCTGCATCTGGTTCCCTTGATACGTTAGTCCAAGAGCTGCATAAGCTCTCTCAATGGAACTGGGATCAATCTGGTTAGTAGCATTTATGTTAGGTGTTGCCTGCTGTCCTACTCCAACAGAGCCAGGATTTCCAAGTCCCACTGCAGCACCACCTAATAATGCTTTAAAAATGAAAGTGAAAGTGAAATATATTCTAAACACGCTGACTAAAATGATGACATAGAATGGTGTTTGACACAACATTCTTTGATTTTTTAAGAGAAACTAACGTTTTTTTCTGCATTCAACTGGCCAAAACTGCAGTCAAAAATGATTGTTAAGATTATGAACAAATGCATAAAACCAAGAAAAATGCAACTAATACCAAACTGTATTATGTCCTTTCTCCATCCCCACTCCCTTTCACTCTCTCTGTGTGTGTCCTGACATGTAGGTGAGGGAACAAATTTTATGAAAGGTTTGCTCTTCTCTAAAGAGCAACAGTATTTCAGTAACGGTAGAACTTTTTTATTATTTTCAGAGGTTTGTAAGCGACATTGAGTGCTATTTTAGCAAAAAATCAGAGTATTAATGTAATAGATACATAAATAGAAGTTGGCCTTTCATTAAATTGTCAAAATGTCATCATGAGACTTTTTCAAACAACATGTATTCTTAAATCTGACATCAGAATTTCTTTACCATGTTTTCAATGCAACTTCAATAATAGGGCAATGCAAAGCAGAAAAACAGGTGCAGGTACTACTGTCTACACCTATTTTTTCTTTGTATCTCTCTATGTGCCACTCTTGGGAAAACATGGGCATGATACAGATCTTTCCTGGAAACCAACTTAGGACTCATTTCATTCTGAAATAAAAATGTAATGCCTACAAGTCAAAAGAATATAGATATAATAATTCTTTGCCTTGACCCAACACACTGTGATGTACTAATTTTTCTTAATCAAAACAGATCTAAACAGCAACATTATTCCAATCAAAGAAAAACTGATCCATCACGAATGCAGCCTATTGCAAACAACCATTCTAGATTAAGTCTGAGTCAATGCCACCTTTGTCCACTATAGCAATATTTTATTCTACAGTTATAACCCATTCTAAAAGACTAGTCTTCTATGAAAAGCTGAAAACAGAGGAAGGGAGAATGGAGGAAAGCAAAAGAGACATATGCATCCAGTGGCCTTGCTGTCCTTCATGCCCAACATCCTCTGGACCCTAGCACTCCTCCTACCCATCTGACTGGGAAGAACACAGAGATGATTAAAAGCAATAACTCTGATTATTTAGTAGCCAAAATGACAGACTGTAGTTTAAGGACAACAATCTAAAAGAAAATGAAAAGAAAGGAATTACTTACATTGTTGATTTCTTTTGTCACCAGCATTTTTGAGAGGGAGACATACAGGACAATCATGCCGCGTACAATTCTTCCAGTGCGATATGATTTGTCGTGAAGATGCGCAATGAGCCACTGAAAAATAGTAAAATACCTATTCAATGACACTAAAATCTGCACATTTCTTTTAACTATGCATACAAACTGAAATATGTTGGTTATATATATGACCTCATCACCATTTCTTTAAGATGGGAATTTAACATAAAACTCCCTGCTGGCATCTAGAATCAGAAAGATTCTCCTTATGTTATAATCAACTAGAATGCCCCACAGATCCATTCATCCAAGTATAGGCCATGGTTTCTCTGCTCTTTGTTCAACTACTACCAAACAGCTTACTCCTCTTGCACAATGGAGGTCCAAGCATTACAACTTCTGTATACCTGTATTTTTCATAGAATTGTAGAATAATTGGAATAGGTCTATAGAGTCCAACCTCCTGTTCAGTGCAGGAATCCAAATCAAAGTATATCTGACAAATGGTTGTCCAATTTTCTCTTGAAGGCCTTCAGCATCGGGGCACTCCCCAGCTCCTAAGATAATTGGTTCAAATGTCATACTGCTCTAATAGTTAAGAAGTTTTTCCTGATATTCAGCTAAAATCTAGATTCCTGTAACCTGAGTCTATTATTACATGTCCTGCGCTCTGGGATGATCAAGAACAGATCCTGCCCCTCTTCTGCGTGGTAATTTTTCAAGTACTTGAAAAGTGTTGTCATTATGTTCCCTCAATCTTCTTTTCTCAAGCTAAACATGCTCAGTTCTTTTCATTTGTCTTTTTTCAAGCTAAACATGCCGAGTTCTTTTCACTTGTCTTTGTAATTTAATACCATACAGATACTATTGCAAATCATTTGTGGGTTTTTTGGACAGCACTAATATGCTGCTATGAGAATTGAAAGGTTCTCTGAGAGTCCTGACTTGTAATCCTTTAGAGAATAGGATCACAGGCATTTAGGAGCAAAGGGCTTTACTTACCCTGGCAGGATTTTCCAGCCTGGCAATGTGTCATGTGGTTGAGGACATTCTTCATGGTTCGACAATGAGGGAGGTTACACTGCCGTACCTCCCCATTTGCTTGTTCCCGCCGCTGACATTTGTGAGCATGTAAGAGGAGAACAAGTTGCTGCTGAATGAGTTTGCGTTTTTCTGGGTCTGCTGTAGGTGCTCCTGATCCCATACCCTGGGGAGCAGTTGATACCATGCCAGCCTGTTGAACTGGAGGAGTCTGCTGTTGACCCTTCAGAGGGAGAGGAAGAAGAATACAAACAGAAATCTAAACTTTACAGTTCTCTTGAAGTCACTGAAACATAGATATAGCTGTAACATTTAGCTTAAGCTTGTAAAGGAAGCAACTTTGTCACATACTGCAAATTAATTAAATACAGCTTTTCTCTCTCAGGGATAGGATCACTTAGCAAGGAAGGAAACCATTATTTAGCAAAACTGTAAGAAGCTTCTTGATAATCCACAATGTTCACATATACACAAAGCAGTAAGTCAGGATTCCTATCACATACAGCCTGGTTCATTCCTGGTTTCCTACTCCCTTCCTGTGATTAAGTAGAACCCAACCAAACAAGAGTTTTGTGGCATCTTAAAGAATAAAACAGATTTATTTGGCATGGACTGATTTATTTGGATGACTACTTTTTCAGATGCAAGTTAACTGTGATCCACAACAATATGTCAAATAAAGGTATTTAAGGCGCCCCATGACATTTGTTAGTTCTGCTGCGAAAGACTACAGGCTAACATGGTTCCTTGCCTGTTCCTGGGAATCCTGGCTTTTTTTAGAGCAATTAACTAGGGCCCCACATTGGACATGACAATGAGCTATACATTTCCATTTACTTTTAACCACTGGTTCAAAGCATTAGCAAAGACACTGTATACACCAATCTGGTTATCATTCACAAACCAGAAATCCTAGATGAATATATGTAAATGAATACAAAACATTTATTAACATGATTTATTATTTCTTATTGCTCCTCCATTTAATGAGTGCTCAAAGTAACTTAAAATAAAACTATAAAAATAAAATCAAAAACAATTTCATGCAAAATATCTAAATACATCAATCAGCATATCTCCCCCACCCTGGCTGCTTTGCACTGGTTGCCCATTCATTTCCGCATTGATTTCAAAGTATTAATGATAACGTATAAAGCCTTAAACGGTTTGGGACCTCGATACCTGGCAGATCGCCTTCTCCCACCCAGGTCTACCCAAATCACTCGACAAAGGCAGCAGGGATGGCTGAGGGGCCTTATGCCGAGAGAGGTCCGGAAGGAAAGAACAAGAAACCGGGCCTTCTCAGCAGTGGCCACTCGGCTGTGGAATACTCTCCCAACGGAAATCCATCTGGCTCCCTCGCTGGGCGTTTTTAAAAATCATTTAAAAACTTGGCTCTTTAGGCAGGCCTTCCCTCCAGTCAATTAACTATTTATTTCTTTATTTTTTAACTATCCTATCTTCATAACGTATATATGCATCAATTTGTAGGTCTTTATTATTATATATGTTATTTTATTGTATTTTATTGTATTTTATTAGTCATGTAAGCCGCCCAGAGTAGACTTTGTCTAGGGGGGGGGGGTATAAGTTCAATAAAGTAATACATGACAATGAAACATGAAGTAATTAATAAAATCCAATTACAGCAAACCATGAACATTTGAAAGGCACAGTACTAGAGATGGGGGTATTCGTATACAAATATGAATCCCCCCCATGCAGCTGGACTTAACAAGGGGCTGTCCCGTCCATTTATGTGCGGCAGCCTCATTCATCCTTCCAATTGCTCCCAAAGCTCCGCTCTCTTCCTGCTCGTCCAGCCACTCCAGGCAGTGGAAGGGAGGAAGAGTTTCCCTGCACGGTGGCCGAGTAGCCAGGCGAGCGGGAAGAGAGCGGAGCTCTGGGAGTGATTGGAAGAATGAGCGAGGCTACCGCTGCTGCCAGATGTGTGAGTGGACAGGCTGGCTGCAGGGGCTAGTCCCTCATTAAGTCTAGCTGTGCAGGGATATTCGTATTCTTATACAAATATGAATACCCCATCTCTAAACAGTACTGCTTCTCAGACAGCTCATGGCAAATAATAAGAAAGCCACCCATTGTAATCTTTTTGGAAAAAGAGTTTTATGTCTGGATTGCTGCCACACAGAAATACTTTTTTTATGAGATGCCGCAGTCTGGAACTCTCTATCTTGGAAGCTTAGGCTAGCTCTCTCTCAGTGATCTTTCCACCTCTGTGCAAAGACATTATTTTAGGTAGATGTTTTGCAATTGATCATAACACAACCAACAATGGACCTTAAACAAGAGAAATTCAGTTTTCCAATTAACACCAAACTCCAGCCTCATTCAGCAGCCTACTTTTACAAATACAGGGTATTTAAATCTTCTAATGATGTCTTCAGTGTTCAATCAGGATACAAGTGTTCCAAGGATTTTAAGTAGTTACTTAAACAATGCTTTATCTTTCCCAAAATGACTGGTTCAGCAAAAATATAATTTGATTTTTAACTGTCAATCATTACAAAATTATCCTTGCTCAATGCAGCACACTCCAAACTTTGATTAGTAACATTGATAATATGCTGAAGATCCCCTAAACTCAAGAAATTTTGCCCATACAGAAAATACATTTTTCCCTTCCATCAGTAACTATTCTGAGATATCCAAAACATACTGGATTCAAATTTCTGGTTTTTCCCTACTAAAAAATTCAAGACTGTCAAAATCAATACTATGGTAACTTACCTTTTTTGTTTTAACTGCTTTATTCAATAATTACATCTTACTCTCAAACAAGACAACACCCCTTTACCACCACATATTTGCAATTACTGAGATTCATATTTATAGAGCACAGCTTTTTAAATACCCTTTGTCAGTGTTACATCTATAGTATATAAATCACACAATATTAAGATAATAAATAATCATGTCGCAAATCATTAGATATGAAAATACTGCAATTAATCCTCATCAAGGTCTTTTGATTTTTTTCTAGAAAAGTTTCCTATATTTGTTTTATTAGAAAATGTGACTGAACAGAAATATGCACTGCACTACACACATGCTGTTCTCTTGCTAATTGTTTGGTGGGACAGAGAAGCAAAGTTGTCTCCTCTGAGGGAGAATGCCTTTTCATTGCAGTCTTGGCTAGTAGGTTATTACTTAGTCAGTACTGTTGATGCTTTAAAGAAGCTAGACAAAAATATTAAATGGGTCAAAATGAAGGGAACAAGTATATTTCCAAGCAAGTCAACATGTGTTAAAATTAAGTCAATCATGCTTCTTAAATATAAATTCTGACTGAAAGAAGCATGAATTATGGCAAAAAGACAACTCCTATTGAATACAAATAAAATATTTGATTTGTTAAGGCAACCATGGGCACAAAAGGCATTGACAACAGCTATCTATTAAGGGTGTGCTCTTCCATCTTTCTGGACTGTAATTCAAGGTACTCTTCAAGAACTCCCCAGGAAGAATCTTGGAATGTGCAGTGTAGAAACACAACTCTATAGACTAACTTTCTGCTTATTTAGCTCTGTTGCTTCTTCCTCTGGCCTGTTTCTATTTTATAAAAAGCAAGAAAGTTGCCCTGATGTTATGAGGGAGTCACAAGCTTACCTGGGAGTTGTAACTCTTTGGGAGGTACCCTTTACAGAGCCTGATGGGCAGGAAGACTATGATTCCCAGCATCCTTTGTGTTGATAATGTGACTGACTGACATGGGGAAAGGGTCTCTTGGGCAGGAGAGAGTTGTAGTCTCATTGCCCATTGAGACATGCCCTAGTACAGAGGTTATATATACATAACATGCTTAAGTATTTGCTTATACGAACATTATGAGTCCTTTAGAACAGAGATCGTCAACCCCCGGTCCGCGGCCCATTGTCGGTCCGTGGCTTGACCCTGACCGGGCCATGAAGACAGACCTCCCACCAGCCCCCCTCCCCCGCATGCACTCGGAGCGGCGGGGGCGGGGGTAGCCAAGAGCCAGAGTCAGCAAATGGCTGGGTACTCCGGCTGGTCTCTTCCCAGCAGCGACAGCAGAGGGGGTGGGGGTGGGCAAGAGCCGGGAGGCAGCGAAGACAAACCTCCTCCCCACGCACTCCCTTCCCCAGAACTGCTTTGCGGGCACGCTTGCCAGCGCGAGTGCTCCCTCCCCCTTTCATGCAAGCGCCCCCGCGCGCAAAGCAACTGTGGGGAGGAAAGTGAGTGCAGGGGTGGGCAGGAGG